AGTGATAAACCAAATCGGAGGACCGCGAGGCAAGAGTCCGATTTGTCAAACATGGAAATGATCACTGACCGAGTTTGACGACACGTAGTCCTGTCAAAATTTATTCTTTGAAAGTAGGGCTTGTAATTCCAATCTTTAAACATTTAACCCGCAGATAAACAGACTCCGAAAAGCTCTAGACACAGCTTCCTATAATTGGGCTTGGGATGGTAAGCCATTACTATGGTTACTGTAATCAAGTCAGACTCTGTTAATAGTAGCTTCACGTAAGTTTGCTCAATGTAATTGGTCGATGTAACTCTACGATTCTAGACGATTACACTATCCAGTTACAACTTTATGGTATTGTTAGTGAAAAATAAGGCAGTTTATCCAGTAATCAAACTCTAGGGAATTGTGAATGCTGTAATAAATAATACTGTTATCCATACACAAAATTGTATCATCCCCGATGTAACATTCACAAGCTGAATGAACATTTAACAGAAATTTAAGCGACACTCTCGGCTGTTTCTCGTGTGCCTCATACGCCACCGTCATTCCGTGATCTATTGCCGAATAGAAGCACGGCAACATGAAATCTATTTGTTAAGCGAATGTTTGACTAATATTAAAACTTATCTTACTTCCTGCTTCCTTCACACAATAGATCCCCTACTTATAAAAATCCCCAAACGAAGTCTGCTATTGTCAGACGAAACGCATAAAAGAATAAATCAAGTCTTTTTAAATTTCAGTTCGTGCAATGCTACTCGCTAGTTTATCATTTAAAAAAGTTTAGAAAAAGTCCCCCCGATAAAAAGCTCCTCAGCTGAATAGTAATTCAAAATTTAAGTGACACTCTCGGCGGTTGCGGCTTGTATTATCATTCTACTATCTATTACTGACCAGGCACAGCACACCAGGCAACATTGAATCTATTTGTTTTGCACATGCATGATTGACTACCGTTAAATAATATAAGGATAGGTCAATACTGATACCAAATATCCGATACTGGCGGTACAGAGGTCTGATCGGAGAATATCAATACTAGCGAAAAGTTTCGATGCTTTCAATACTGCCCAAAATAACTTATTATTACTGCGTTTGTCACTAATCACCTCTTCTGGAAGTTTACATTGTCTTCACATAAAAGGGTTAAATGAGTTTCCAGCTTACCAAATTACATTATGGCGGGCCCATGGATCACATCTTTTCAAACTAAATGAACGATTAAGTAATTGAATCGATCGATCTCACATTCATTAGACACATGTCAAAAATCACAGTATTGTTTACGGAAAGAACAACATTAATTGAACAATTAGGCGATTCCGTAACACTTGAATTTTCCCAAGGTATGGTAGCCCTTCTCGTTATTCCCGTGTAGATCGTCCCCTAAATGGCTAACACCTGTATCTCCAAACTTCAGCTGTTTAACCGGCAGATGAGTCCTGTTAGTAAGGACACCACTATCTTCACGCCATACATTGTCATTCATATGACAGTTACAGTGCACTGAGTAGTCTGCTGGGTTACCTGGTTGTGGACATGTGTTGGTAATTCCGCATCCACACATATGACTTTCAGGTGTTGCACCACTCCAGTAGGTCATTGCCACAGAATCACGTGAGACCCAAAAGCCATCTTTCAAATTAGAACCGAGGCACTCGTACTTTATGAACTGCTCACAGTGTTGGGAAATGTCGATGAGGTTCACCAGCTGAGAAATGTTTGCTCCTTTGTAATGTATGTCACGTGAATATGATCCCGTTTCTTCGTATCCGTCCACCAGTGTCCTGTTCTCGCTGTCGTGACTTATTACGGTCACGCCAACACCGTCCTTGTCACTCATGTCACAGGTGACATTTAATGCCGACAGACCTCCATCGCCATCGGGATCAATTAGGCATGGTCCAATTTTTGTATTAGGATCGAGCTTCTTTAAGTCGCTGCAAGATTTTGGAAGCGCTGAAGAGACTGAGAAAAGAACATTTGAAATGAAGGGTGTGTCAATTTTCACAAAATTTGCTGTGGCCACTGCCTTCTGTGGGAAGCGAAGCTACATATGTTGCTGAGATCAGTGAGTGAGTGATTGCGTAGTGCATAAGTGCGTAAGTCGATTGAGTGAGTGAGTGTAACAATAGAATTCTGATCTTGACCCAATTTTGACCCGATGTTTCCACAGGGGGCCCACAAAAGCGGCGTGTCTAGTCGTTTGTTCGAAATATAAAGAAATGTATGGGAGAATATTAAGGAGTCGTAATATCGCAAACTTATATCGAGGAATTGCTATGATAGGCTCAAAATAAATGTAAACCTACCTCACTTGCTGTGTATTGTCGTTTCTGTGGTTCTAAATGAG